GGAGGGGCTAAGTATTCAGAGGGAGGGTCTTGGTTCAGAGAGGGAGGGGCTAGCTGTACAGAGGGAGGGGCTTAGGTCTCAGAGGGAGGAGCTAAGTGCATGGGCTGAGGAGCTAAGCACACAGAGGGAGGAGCTAGATGCACAGAGGGAGGAGATAAGTGCTCAGAGGGAGGGGTTAAGTGCAGAGGCAGCAGACGACCCGGCACAAGAGAGTGAGATCACAGACCTGTGCTCGGACACAGAGAGCGCCGCGTCCCTCAGCCTGGACGGGCCCCTGCACAGCCCCCCCCCTCTGCACTCCCCCACACCCCCCTCCTCCCCCGACATCCCGCACTTCCCCAGATGGACCACTTCAGCGAGGACCCCAGCCCCCCTCCCACACAGGACACACCCCCCGGGGACAGCGACCAGAGGTGAGGACAGTGCTGCTGCAATATTAATAAGAATTCATGTAAGAGTGTGTGTGCTCCCACCGATCGCTGTTAGTGAGAGTGTGTGTGTGTGCTCACACTGATCACTGTTGGTGAGAGTGTGTGTGTGTGCTCACACCGATCGCTGTTAGTGAGAGTGTGTGTGTGTGTGCGCTCACACTGATCACTGTTGGTGAGAGTGTGTGTGTGTATTCACACCGATCACTGTTGTGTGAGAGTGTGTGTGCGCTCACACTGATCCCTGTTGGTGAGAGTGTGTGTGTGTGCGCTCACACCGATCACTGTTGGTGAGAGTGTGTGTGCGCTCACACTGATCACTGTTGGTGAGAGTGTGTGTGCGCTCACACTGATCACTGTTGGTGAGAGTGTGTGTGCGCTCACACTGATCCCTGTTGGTGAGAGTGTGTGTGCGCTCACACTGATCACTGTTGGTGAGAGTGTGTGTGTGTGTGCTCCCACCGATCACTGTTAGTGAGTGTTCCCAATGCTTAGGAACAACTTCAGACTGAATGTTTTAAAGTGTCCTGTACATTTCCATAATTTGTGTCACAAGTCAAAGTGTAAAGAGTAAATCATGTTCATGACTGTCGGTGTTTGTTTGTTCAGTGATGCACATCCAGAAGACGAGGACGATGCTGTCCGTGGTTCTTACCCACAGACTTATGCTGACTTCTACTCCCAGTCCCACCAGAAGTCCTACCCTCCCCCTAAACAACACCCCAACTCTTTCCCCGAGCCCCTGCGCACCGCTTACCCAGCAGAACCCCCCAAAGCTGAGCCCAGGACCAGGCAGGACCACGGCCACAAGAGCTCCCACAATGCAGTGCAGCACAGGCCCGCTCAGAGCCTGCCTCCTGACAGCTCCATCGGCTGTAGGCTGCACCACTACGACGGTCAGTCTGATGGAGAGAGCAGTGACCGCAGCCCCGTGCCCAGGGGCCGGAGGCAGGGGCCCCACAGAGGAGACGCCCCGGGGAAGAGGGCCTCCACTGGGCCCCAGCGCTCAGGTACAGCTGCTCCTCTGGGGACAATACAGATTTTACACAGAAATAATGACATATACTGCACAAAGATCCAATGAATCCTGTACATTTTTCCTAATAAAAATCAACAAATGAATCAATATTGTTATAGTCTCAGCTCAAAAAACGCTAAAAAAAAAAAGGGGGAGATGACAACGGCAGCAGTTTTAACCCTTGTGTGGCCGTTTGCGATAAAAAATATAAGTTTTTTTTTTTTTCAGCATTGGCTGGTTATGGTTTCTAGTTCTATTTCTATCTCATTCACTGCACTCACAGTTTTGTCTCCTCTGCTCCAGGCGTGTCCCCGGGGGAGGCTCCAGAGGACAGGACCCCAGGGGACCCAGGGCCAAAGGGAGATGCCATCAGCCTGGCCATTAGAGGCATCAAAGAGGCCATAGAGGAAGTGAAGACCCGAGCTGTGCGCTCGCCCTACACCCCAGACCAGCCTGTGGAGCCCGTGTGGGTGATGAGGCAGGAGAGCAGCCCCACAGAGGAGGCAGCCACCACAGGACAGGTACCATCTCCTTCTGCACTGACGCTGGATCTGTGTGTGGTGTGTGCTTATGTCTGTGGTGAGTCAGTGCTTCTCTGTTTAATGTAGCTTGGTGTTTAAACACTCCGTCCCTCTGGGCTCTGAGTGAGTGAGACAGGTTCAACCAAGCACAAGACAAGATAAAGATGGAAAGACTCTGGCCTAATGCCCATCTTTGTTTAAACTCTTACTCGACGTGTGTATGTCCTGTTAGCAGACACTGTAATATAGTAACTGTACAATAAGAAGTGAGGAGGCTTAACTTGAAGAAGACACACTCACTCAAACATTCATGATTCACTCCAAACCACTTTGAGCACACACGTGATGAGGGAAACCACCAACACAACAAATGTCCACAATGTTCAGCGAAATATGAATCACATATGTAGGGCTGGCGGTCATGATGCTCACTGAAATGTTTTTTGTTGCTTTGAAGGGACCAAAATGAAGTAAATCCTTCAGTGTTTTAGCAACAACAGTTATGATAGAGGTTACTCAGGTTTGGGGGGAGTTAGGGTTTATGATTTATGTAAAGGTTAGGGAAGTAGTAACTATTAAAGTGTATGTGACAGATGTTCAGGTGTTTCTGATTCTGACTTGGTTTGGTGGATAGTCCCTGTGGTCAGTATTTATCAGAGTTGACAAAGTGACAGTTTGTCAAGGGCAGTTGGAAAAAAGTAGAATATTTCTGTCATCAATACACAAAATTCCATCCAGAATACAAGTACAGTTTACACTCAAAGAGCGTACAGCACAAACACTGATTTAGAAAATGTGCCATATATTTGTATTTCTTTAATCACAACTGTTGTGTAAATTAGACAAGCTTTAGCTCCTGATTATCCTACGTACTAGTGTGTATGCCATGTACAACTGTAAACTTACACAACACATCAAACTTCTAGGTATGATTATTTTGAGCAAAATCGTAAATACAGTTCTTCAGTGAAATTCATATTCTACTGTCATACGTAGAATGAATCTCCAGTTCATGAATCTTTGTCAATTCAATGTCCCTTGTGTGTGTGTGTGTGTGTGTGTGCATGCGTGTATGTGTGTGTGTGTGTGTGTAGGTGTCTCCGGGCTCTCCGTGCGACTCCCTGTCCCTGTACTCCTCCTCGGCTCAGGACCCTGTGAGCCCCATGAGGGCAGAGACGTCCAGGACCTACCCCCACTCCCAAAGAGACGCCCAGAGACACAGCTACCCCCCTAACCCCAGCCAGCAGAGGGCGCCAGCAGCCCCTCCACCCCCCACTGCACAGGAGGTGAGCTTACCCCACATTTATTCACATAGACTCTTGAAATAAATACTTCCCCACTAGCCCTTCCAAATATCAAGTGAGCATGGCCGCGCCTCCAGGGCCCTTGATTCTAGAGCAGTTCACTTTCTCCTGAAAAAGCGTGGCCCCTCTCTCTGTAACTGCTGCAGTGAGCCTTGCCATTTGGTCTTAAAATGTTTGTATTAACCAACTCTACATCACTGCTGTATCAAGACATGAACATTAATAACAGACCAATCTGGTGAGCAACAAGTTTGATTGACAGCTATCGCAGTACTTTGCTAAGAGTCTGTCCCCTGCTAAAGCAGTGCAGACAGGAAGGGGCGAGTACATTCAACAACCTCACTCCTGATTGGCTCTTTGGTTGAGCACCTGGATTCCCAAATATGGGTCTTGGTTGCAGCTGCTGTAATTTTCTGCCTCAATGAGCTTCATTTGACTGGAGCCGAACGCTGTGGGTGACGTCACACTCCCTGAGTCCACTTCTTTATACAGTCTATGATTTCTGATGAGCCACAATGTGTGAAGTACTCTCCTCAAAGTGCACTAATGTGCTTGAATACAAACACATTGTTGTTAATAATGAACAGTGTCAGATGTGATGGGATCTACACTGAACCTGGAGCACAGAATAATTGTGTTTTGTCTTTCAGATACGACAGTCTCTGCCTACGTTTCCCACCTTTGTCGATGGTAATAATGATTATTACTAATGAGTTTAATACAACTAAAAGTGTCACAAATATCCCAGACATGAGCCTGTCGGTAGGGGACATGTAGACATGTTCAAATCAAGTAAAACTTTTACCGATAACAATTATCATTGTTCTTTGCTGAAATCCAGTAGGTTCTGATCAGAGACAGACTGTTTACATTTAGTAAAATGTCTCTGATCTGGCCTCTCCCTAAACCCCAACACCTACACCAGTCATGAGTCAGTGCTAGTGCAGCCTCTGCAGCTCAGGGAGGGAATTCTGGAGGTTCTGTCCATATACTGAGAATGAGACAAACTTTCTGCAGATGAAGGTTCTGGAGACACAGGTTTAGGTGGGATTGTAGAGTGCAGGCTACAGACAGTTCCTTTCAAATGTGAATTTTCAAACCTCAAATACTGGGGTGGTGAAAGACGACAGAATATGTTTCTTTGTGTGTGTAAATGCCTAACCTGTTCTCCGTGTCAGTGCCAGGGCCCTGTGACCCCGATGACCTCATTGATGGCATCATATTTGCCGCCACGTACCTGGGCTGCACCCACCTGCTGTCCGAGCGCACGCCCTCCAAGAGCGCACGCATGCAGCAGGCCCAGGAGGCCATGAGCAGAGTGCGGGTCAGATACTCACCTCCACACACACCTCCACACACACCTCCACACACACCTCCACACACACCTCCACACACACCTCACACAGGGGACACAGAGGGACACTGCTGTTGGACTGACTGTGTGTTTTCTCCACAGGCGGCACAGAAACAGGCCAAGAACAGGAAGAAGGTACTGACATGAAACACTAATGTGTGTAACTCATATTTATGTGCATATTGTATTAAACGGCTTGTGTGTGTGTGTGTGTGTGTGTATGGTGTGTGCAGGGCGGTGATGGGGACTCTGTCTCCACGGTGGAGGTGGACTTGTTCATGTCCACTCAGAGGATCAAAGTTCTGAACGCAGACACTCAGGTGAGAGCAGGGGCCTGTGTGCTGCTCTGTGTTAGTGTTTCATGTGTGTGTCTGG